TGAAGTCACTGTGAAAACCAAAAAAAAAAAAAAAGTGTCTTTTTCAAACCCACTAGTGAGTTGTGAAATCAACTGTGTAGTGACCAGAAATTTTATTTAATGAAATAGAACAGAATAAAGAGAAAAGATGAAGAAAGGAGATATCAAAATGGATTATATTCTACAGGTGAAAATTATTTCATAAAACGTTTGTTTCATAAACAAATGTTTGTGTGTGTGCATATATTGACACTGTAATGTAAATGTAAAACATTTCTTACGACGCTTGTATCACATACTTTGAAAAACACTACTCTAAGGCATATTCTAAGAGGTGGCACGTTTAGGTCAAAAGAAATGTGCATTTTTACTAATTAGAAATTTAAAAAACTATTCCTGAGGTTAGCACATTTCTGGCTCTCATAAATGACACACATAAAATATCTATATTATTAGATAAATATTAGAAATATTTATCTAAGCTATATTTTCCAAATATTCTTGGCAATCAGTACAAGGCTTAGGTTACCAAAAATCTCAATTGAGACTGACTCTAATATTTATTATAAATAACTTCTTTAGTTATCAATTAAAAAGTTCAACCTAACAATTTTGTCTTTTGTGCTTTATGATCTCTGACATATACTTAACATCTTTATCTAGTAAATTTAAAAATGGTCTTCACTGACTAGCTTCTAAAAAATCATGCCATATCTGGTAACTATTAGCATTTATGACTCTTAATGGAAAATGTAGAAACTACTATGTCTTGAAACATTTAAAAATTCAGCTATTCTTAAGAATAAAATGAATAAGTTTTCATAACTCTTGAAAAAAAAAGACTTTTAAAGATTTGGAGCCCTGGTGGAGCAGTGGTTAAGAACTCAGCTGCTAACCAAAAGGTCGGCAGTTCAAATCCATCAGTCACTCCTTGGAAACCCTATGGGGCAGTTTACTGTGTCCTATTGGGTTGCTATGAGTCAGAATTGACTCGACAGCAATGGGTCTTTTTTTTGTTCTCAGTTTTTGAAAATTTATGATTATTATCTTGATGGATTTTTTTTCTTAAGTAAAAATATAAATTTTTATTTATTCAAACTATAAACCTCTCAAATGTATCGCTTTCAGGAGATAAGTCTTCTAATATCAACTCTTATTTTTCTTTATCTCTTACCTGGAAAGAAAATATTCTCTACACTGAAAAAAACAAACAATGCAGTGCACATAAAATATTAAGGTTAATCCCAAAGTCAATTATGTTTTTTGTAAAACTAAATGGAAAAAGTTAATATACCTAGCCAGAGGAGAGCGAAATGCTGAAGCTGGTGTGGGAAAATCCATGGTCCTTGTCTCAAGAACTGGTTTTCCTGGAACAAACTTTAAGCTGTTGGGATTTGGAGTATCTTGTGTTTGAATAAACATGTTTCTCACTAAAAGAAAAAAGAGAATTATAATATTCTTGAAAAAAATAGTTAACAATTTTCAGAAGTGCTCATTTTCAGAGAACCAGAAGTAAGAAAAATTATAACAAAGCTAAAAAGGCTTCATTTCCCAAGTTGACAAAGAATTTGTAAAGAAAGAAATATATTACTATATTTAGGATAACTGAATAGAATTTATATTAATGCTCTATTTTAATAGTTTTGTTATTCAACAGATTCTGGCACCATCCTACACTTAGGTAGGAAGGCACATCATAATTCTGCGGTATTATATGTATTCTATTTGGTGACTTGGTATCAATGACCATCATAATCACAAATCATCACTGTAATATTAACACAGTAAAATGTTGCATTCTCTTCCTTCCTAAGTCCCACCAGTCTTCTAAAGACAATGAAGTAAAATGAGCAATTCTGACTCATAGCAACCCTACAGGACAGAGGAGAACTGCAAACATAGAGTTTCCAAGGAGCAGCTAGTGGATTTGAACTGCAGACCTTTTGGTTAGCAGCCAAGCTCTTAACCATTGCACCACCAGGGCTCCAATAATAATAATAGCTAATATTTACTGTTTGCTTATTACATGCCAGATACAGGGTCAAGCGCTTTAAATGTACTTATGTGTTTAATAACCATATGAAGAAGGTACCATTATTATCCTCATTTTACAAATTAAGAATCTGAAGCTTAGAGATGTTAAGTAACTTGCCCAAGGGTACAGAGTTAGTAACATTATAAAATATGATATGTAAATTGGAATCTATATAATTACTTTCTGGAATATTTAAAACTATCTTAATAGGTTCTTTTCTTCTAGGGCCATGATTAGATCAAGAATAAATTGATTAAATCAATAAAGAGATAACTAAATCTTTAATTTCCTGTCTTGCTATTATGAAAACAACTTTTAGCACAAAAGGATAGAACTAGGGTTTTAATAATTCTAAAACTATAAAACAGACCCTGATTATTTATTATGAAAATAAACGTTTCTCACTAAAAAATTTATCATCTTAGAGCAGTTTATTTAAATAGGTTAACAACAGTATATAATAACAACTAAAATTTACTGAGCACATAACATGTCCTGGGCATGGGGCTAAGCACTCTACATGCATTACATCATTTAATCTTTATATCCTACCAAGGAAGTACTGTTTTTATCTCATTTTTATAAGTAAGCAAACTAAAGCTCATGATCACTTGGCTAGCCAAGTGCTGCAACCAGGATTCAAGCCTGACCAATTTTCAAGATCTTACTCTTTTAACCACTGTGCATACTGCCACTCCTCACCTATTAGTGCCAAGCATAACGGAAAATATGTTTAGGATCAGTCTCTTCATTCTATCCAGTCATAACCCTCATATCACTTATCTTAGGAGAGACAGTAAAATACCAAAAAGCATCAGTTTTATTTTAAATTTGAAAGAGACCAGATTTAGCAAAACATGGTTGGAAGCATGGAAGTACTTTTCTTCACCATTATGGAGAAGAATCTAATTTGACAACTGATAGTTGCTTTTGCACCTCTCCATGCAGTTCCAGCTAACTGATGTTGAACCATTTCCTTGATAGTAGAAATTAAAACTAAACTCGCATACATTTTGCTTATGTCATTGTCCTATATAGATATCAGTTGGTGACTTGGTGACCGGGTAAATCCTAAAAAAGAGAAAAATAAAAAACGATAACCTCAATGTCCAAGCACTTGATTTAAAATATTTATACAGTAAAACCTGCGAAAGCCGGAACCTGTGTAAGAAGGAAACCTGTCAGAGAAGGAAAGCTCAAATATTTTCCACTACTACCTCCAACCAATAAATTTCTCTGAAAACCTACATAATAAGGGAAAAACATTAAAGAAAGCACTACCACTACTTTCTGTAAAATATAAAGACATCAGGGGTTCTTTTAACCCTAGTTCTGAACCAATCATTTCGTGTGGCCTTTCTTAATAATTTATTGGTAAATTACACATTCTGCCAACATCTAAAGAATTAAATCTGGCTTTATTTCTACACTTACTACTCACTACGAGTCAGAATCGACTCAACGGCAAAAGGTTTGGTTCTCTTGCTTTTACTCCTCCCTTCTCGACTATCTAGTTATACAGTATTTTGTATTTATGACAATAGTAAAAAATCTATCCAACTATTCTGCGTATCAGTGACACATATCTGGCAGTAACGAACGCCGAGGTATGAGGTGAGAGTAACACTGGCTATGATGGTTAAGTTAATGGGTCCACTTGGCTGGGCCATCAATCTCAGTGGTTTGGCAGTTATGTAATGATGTAATTTGGCAGTTATATAATGATGTGCTCATTCTCCATTTTTTGATCTGATGTGACCATCCTCCATTTTCACATAACACTGATTTTCACAAACAACCTGGTCTTTGGAATCTAACCATGTCCGATAAGTCAGGAGAGGGTGTATTCAGTCCACTTGAGTAAAACTACACTTGCAGAAAGAAAAACTTCTTGAAATACTTGGACATAAAAAACTGTATGTAAAATATATATATATATGAGAGTAAAATCTATATAATACTCTCTGAAGAAGAAAATTATGAAAACATATGACATTAATAATCACTGCATAATTTTTCTCTTTTGACAATAAAAGCTATTTTAAAAGACTAATTTGAATAGGTGTTTAACAGAATCACCCCCATTACAGTCTAAGGTGAGTTTAATTAGTTATTTCAAAAATGACTCCCAAACACAAAAACAAAAATGACTCCCAGTTCCATCATCTTTCTGAGGCTCCTGAATATATCGTGAGGGTTACAACAGGCTAGAGATTGATATTTTTTCCTAATATGCTTGGCACTAATAAGTACCTAATAGGTACACATAAGCTCCCCCAAAATATACATTAATGGTGCTTAATGTCAATATTGAAGACTAAAATCAGTAGACTTCTAATCTGAAAAGTGTAGATGACCTTAATTCAGTCCTACAAAATTTAAATATCAATTAAAGTGGTTTAATCTGCTGAGTTCCTCTGTATTTATGCCTAAACTAGTCTGTGATTCAAGGAGACAAGCAAGCCCTCCTCTTCTTGCCCTAGTCTACAGGAGAAGTAAGGTCTTTAACCTGGTCCAGCTCATGCCTTTAATCAGACTCGGCCACCTTCCAGAATACGGCCACAAAGAGGTGTTCAAGGTAGTGATGCAAAGGGGTGGGCCAAGAGAATCCATACTCTTACAGTACCATAAGCACATACAAGTATGCGTTTATATACACACATACTCTCCCCTAAGGTTCCCTAACTACGTGACAGTGGTCACACCTGAAATATTTTTCAAATCCTATCTGAATACTTATTTCCAATATTAAAGAAAATTTTGTTTACCAAGGCATGTAATATCAACAATATTGTCGATAACATCAGTGATTAATTTTGACAAGATAAAAACTGCATTCAAAATGCTATGTTGCTTTTACAGGCTTCTAAATAGAAAATTAGGAACCCTGGTGGCGTAGTGGTTAAGAGCTTGGCTGCTAACCGAAAGGTCGGCAGTTTGAATCCACAAGCCGCTCCTTGGAAACCCTAAGGGGCAGTTCTACTCTGTCCTATAGGGTTGCTATGAGTCGGAATCAACTCGACAGCAACAGGTTTGTTTTTGTCTTTCACTTTTTTGTTTAAATAGAAAATTTATGAATTCTCATCTTTTATGCCCCGCAAAACCCTACCATAGTTCCATTAGCTTCTGAAACATAATTTGTTCTAAAAGAGGTTAAATTTTACCTGTGGTACACAAGGTTGTAGGTAGTAAGAAAAGTGGTCTTTGTACAAAGTGATGCAGAGGCTGTTTCTTAATGATGTGTGGACTCCTCATTATGTGACGGAAGCTACATTTTAAAAACAATAATAAATGACACTGTAAGAGATTTAATCTTTTAAACTCAAGTTTCTACTTCTCATGTATAAAAGACATAATAAAATTGAAACATAACCAGCAATGAAATAATTACAGAGCTGACTTTTTATTTTCCATCCACATTATTTCCACTTACTTAGGCAAGCAATATCTACAATTCACAGAGCTGAAATGGAAACTCATAGCCTTGATAATTAGGTATACAAAGGATAGTGGAAGATCTGGGTATAAGAAACAGAAATGTATCTACATTAGTGATTTATAACTTAAGAGTTCCAGACTCTTTGCTACACATGAAGGAGGCAAAGAACTGCAAGCTTTTTCTTCTTCCTCTTATTTTAAAACTAAGTAACAGATTCACACGCTTCAAGATTCAAAAGGAACAAAAGTACATACAGTGAAAAAGTTTTCTTTCTTTTCTGCCTCCTACCACCATGCTTCCCTCTCTAGAGACAACCTATATTATGTTTTGAAAAGTATTTCAATAATTCAAAAAGTTTAATAGAAAGTGTATTGTTCTCCTCCAAACTGCTAAAGAAGCTAACAATCTATATATGCTTTTGACTGGAAACATTTATGTTGTAACTTTATTTTGTAAACTTTATGTTTTTATGTTGTAAACTTTATGTGGTAACTTTGGTTTCTTCAGGCTGATAAAGAAATGTTGATTTGCTATTTTTCATGGCTTTGCTAAATTAAAAACAAAGAGAGAAAAGAAAAACAACAATTACTGAACAGGGAAATAAAAGGAGACTTTAGTACTGAAAATTTTAGAACTGATGCAATTAACTTTAAAATTCAGTTTTCTTTAATATACTATCGATATCCATTATAACTGTCATTTCACAGGAGTCACTGAAGAATTTTAAGCAGGAGTCACTTTTATGATCATATAAACGATCACTTTTTTTAAAACATTTCTCTGATTATTTTCCACTAAAATATGCAAGAGGCTAAGGACAGGGACTGTATCACCATACTTTCTTATAAAGAAAGATTCTGCTTGTCACAAAGCAAGAGTGAGCATCCGATTCACTGGTATACAGATTATCTAAGAATTTTTCCTTCATTCAGTAATCTGTAAACTCTATTTATAAGCAAAATACCACTTCAAATAGGACACTATGGGAATGTAGCTCATAGAGAGTTTCTTTAAAAGGCTGCTAAGGATTCAGGAGAACAAGAAGGTAAGCATTAGTGACAAAGTGGAAACAACATTGAATAGGGAATCAAGGAAATCCGTGAAGCCCTACCATCCCCGACACTGGCTCCAAAAAGAACTTATCATGGCAAGGTCCGCCACCACTCTAGATTATATGACTATTGCAGTAATGGAGTCACTGGGTGGTGCACTTACTCAAAAGAGGAGGGGGGGACAGAAAGTAAACAAACAAAAAAAAAAATCCTGCTGTAATCTTAATTTTTGAAGGAAATGTATTTGAACTTCAGAAGCATCATTAGCACTAATACTCAAGAGGTCAAATTCTCCTTTTGTTCCAGAAGCAAAATCAGGGTCCTGATTCAGCTTGCCTTTCACCTAACCAATACTGACGGTCATCCTTTGGGAGGCAAACTCAAAGGGAAGGCACAGCAATGGGGAAAGAACAAGGGAACGTAGTGGGCTTAGCTGGTGGAGAGGAAATCCAGAGGTCTGCCTTCCAATGGGAGTTCCATCACTTACAAGCTGTGTGACCTTAAATAAGTCAGGTACCCTTTCTGGGCCTCACTGGGAGAATGAGGGGATGGGACAAGGTATTCTCTTCTGTATGAGATTCTGAATTTATGTTTTAAAAGACGGAGGAGGGAAGAATGCACATGGTGGAAGGGTTGAGGGGCCTCAAGTCAGTCTCCGAGAGCTTCCCCACCGCGGGGACTGAGACCCTGCTCTCAAAGCCTGGGACCAGGATCGAAATGAAGAGGCGGAGCTGCCTCTCCGACAGCCGCTCACATCAGGGCTAAACCCCTAACTGCGGTGACCAGGCCCACCCCGCTCAGTGAGAGGAACCCTTCCCCCTTTAGGCGAGGCGGCGACCAGTCCGCTGGCTAAGTCCGGTAGCACCCCTATGCGGACACTCCGGGCTCGTCACCTACCGCCGACGCAGCCTCGCGGCAGCGGCCGCACCTCCCCAGGCCAGCCGGGCCGCCGCCGCCGCCATCTTAGTCCGAGATTGCACAGGCGTGAAGTCGGTCTCATCTCTTGCCCGACCCCTAAAGCCTCGCGCATGCGCAGGTCGTTCGAGAGCGGAGCGCGCACCGGAGAGAGCGCACCCTACCGGCCGCGAACGGCGCTGCTACAGAGGAGCAGGGCAAGATTACAGGGCGCCGTTTCCAACCATTGCCTGCTCGATGCGTAATCTTGAGAACCCACCCTGAGGCACTTGCGCATGCGTCTTCGCTAAGGCACACCGGACTCACCAAGCATACGCAGAGTGGTAAATCCTTTCACTCCTGTCTGAGTACTGGGTTTGCGCTGATTCTGGGATTGGAATGCTGTATCCTACCCATAAATCCTCCCCATTCCCACAGGTGGGATCTGGCTTGCCCTCCAGGCCCGGCTCAGTGACTGCCCCCCAAAAGTATTCCCGGAGAATGTGCTCTGAAGGGTTCTTGCCTTCCTCCAGCGAGCTGTTTGCGCTACCCGCCTGGGCCTGATGAGAGCTGTGTGTGTTACTCCTTTCCGTAGGCTTTGCTTGTGGGCTCGCGATTTCGTCATCTACCAACCTTCACAGAAGACACACCAAGAGCCACGCTGCTCCTGTCTGTGATACTCGCATTTCTCTAGGACAGCGGTTCTCAAAGTGTAGACTAGAGAGCAGCAACAGCGTCATCTGGGGAACGTGGTTGTTAGGTGCCAGTGAAGTAGGTTCCGACTTAAAGTGGTCCTGTGTACAATAGAACAAAACACTGCCTGGTCTTGCGTCATCTTTACAATTGTTGCTATGTTTGAGCCCATTGTTGCATTGTGTCAGTCCATCTCCTTGAGGGTCTTCCTCTTTTTTGCTGACCCTCTAACAAGTATGATGTCCTTTTCCAGGGACTGGCCCCTCCTGAAAACATGTCCAAAGTTGTTGTTCTGTGCCACTGAGTGGTTTCCAACTCATAGCCACCCTATAGGAGAAGGTAGAACTGCCCCAGGGGGTTCCAAACCCGTCAGCCACTCTTCATGTCCAAAGTAAGCAAGATGAAGTCTTGTCATCCTCCCGTTTAAGGAGCATTGTTACTGTACTTCTTCTGTCCTCAGGTAAAATCATCACAAAGTTATAGTAAAGCAAGAAGAAAGATTTTATTCGGCATATGTTCCAAGAGGCAAAAGTGGGAAACAAACCCAGATGTAAATCCAGCCACCTGCCGGTCACGTGATCTTTGACAAAGGCCTAAAGCCCATTAAATGGGGAAAAGACAGTCTTTTTAACAAATGGTGCTGGCAAAACTGGATAACCATCTGTAAAAAAATGAAACAGGACTCATACTTCATGCCATACACAAAAACTAATTCAAAATGGATTGAAGATGTAAATATAAAAGCAAAAACTATAAAGATCATGGAAGAAAAAATACAGTCAATGCTAGGGACCCTAATATACAGCATAAATGGGATAAAAACCATAACTAACAATACACAAACACCAAAAGATAAGCTAGATAACTGGGATCTTCTAAACATTAAATACTTATGTTCATCAAAAGAGTTCACCAAAAGAGTACAAAGAGAAACTACAGACTGGGAAAAAAATTTTGGCTGTGACCTATCCAGCAAAGGTCAAATCACTTCTAAAATCTGTAGGAAAATCCAACACCTCTACAAAGAAAAGACAAATAATCCAGTTTAAAAATGGGCGAAGGATATGAGCAGACACTTCACCAAAGAAGACATTCAGATGGCTAACAGACTCATGAGGAAATGCCATTAGTGAAATGTAAATCAAAACTACAATGAGATACCATCTCACTCTGACATTACTGGCAGTAATCAAAAAAACAGAAAATAACGTATTGGAGAGGCTGCAGGGAAATTGGAACTCTTACGCACTGCTGGTGGGAATGCACAATGGTACAACCATTTTGGAAAATGATATGGCACATCCTTAAAAACCTGGAAATTGAAATATCATATGATCCAGCAATCCCACTCCTAGGAATATATCCTAGAGAAATAAGAGCTGTCACATGAATAGACATGCACACCCATGTTCATTGCAGCATTATTCACAATAGCAAAAAAGATGGAAACAACCTAGGTGTCCATCAACAGGGGAGTGGATAAACAAACTGTGGCACACACACTATGGAATACTACACAAAAATAAAGAACAGTGATGAATCTGCGAAACAACTCACAACATGGGGGAATCTGGAGGGCATCATGCTGAGTGAAATAAGTCAATCACAAAAGGACAAATACTGTATGAGACCACTATTATAAAAACTCATGAAAAGGTTTATACATAGAAAGAAACGATCTTTGATGGTTATGAGAGAGGGGAAGGGGATGGGCAGGGAGGGAAAAACACTTACTAGACAATATGAAAGTAGTAACTTTGGTGAAGCGTAAGACAGTACACAATACTAGGAAAGTCATCACAACTTGACCAAGGCAAGGTCATGGAAGCTTCAGAGACACATCCAAACTCCCTGAGGGATTGAATTACTAGGCTGAAGGCTGGGAACCATGGTCTCCAGGGACATCTAGCTCAATTGGCGTAACATAGTTTATAAAGAAAATGTTCTACATCCTACTTTGGTGAGTACTGGCTGGTGTCTTAAAAGCTTGTGAGTGGCCATCTAAGATACTTCTACTGGTCCCACCCTGTCTGTAGCAAAGGAGAATGAAGAAAACCAAAGGCACAAAGGAAAGATTAGCCGAAAGGACTAATGGACCACAACTACCACAGCCTCCACCAGACTGAGTCCAGCACAACTAGACGGTGCCCAGCTACCACCACCGACTGCTCTACAGGAATCATAATAGAGGGTCCTGGACAGAGCTGGAGAAAAATGTCGAACAAAATTCTAACTAACAAAAAAAGACCAGACTTACTGGTCTGACAGAGACTGGAGAAACCCCGGGAGTATGGCCCCGGGACACCCTTTTAACTCAGTACTAAATTCACTCCTGAGGTTCACCCATCAGCCAAAGATTAGACAGGCCTATAGTGGTTAAAGAAATGCTGGTGGTGCAGTGGTTAAGAGTTCAGCTACTAACCAAAATGTTAGTAGTTCATATCCACCAGGCGCTCCTTGGAAACCGTATGGGGCGATTCTACTCTGTCCTATAGGGTCGCTATGAGTCGGGATCGATTCGACGGCAACAGATTTGGGTTTTGTTTTTTTGGGTATAGTGGTTAAGGAACCCTAGTGGCTCAGTGGTTAAGAGCTCAGCTGCTTAGCAAAAGGCCTGCAGTTTGAATCCACCGGCCATGCCCTGAAAACCCTGGGCAGCAGTTCTACAATGTCTGTTGGGTCGCTATGAGTTGGAATCAACCCGATGGCAACGGGTTTGGTTTTGGGTTATAAAACAAATAATAAAACACATAGTACAGCTATGTATGCGACACTAAACGGGCACACTAGCCCAGGGGCAAGGACGAGAATGCAGGGGGGACAGGAAAGCTGAATGAATGGAAATGGGGACCCAAGGTCGAGAAGGGGAGAGTGTTGACACGTCACGGGGTTGGCAACCAATGTCACAAAACAATATTTGTATTAATTGTTTGATGAGAAACTAATTTGTTTTGTAAGCTTTCACCTAAAGCACTATTAAAAAAAAGGGGGGGGGGACAGACAAGCATGCTGCCAGAGCTACGTCTACCCAAGTTCAAGGAATGTTACAGAATCATCTATATATATTGACATTACAAATGGGTAAAATCATTAAAAGTGTCGTCTTTTCACAGATTGGCTAAAAACTGCTAAATCACAGTGATTCCACATATTGAATTATCTTTCTTAATAATCATTGGTACAAATTTCAGTAACGACAGTCTGGAGTGTCTTCATTGGTCCAACAAATCTTATTATTTGCTAAATGCTAATAGAAAAAGAATTCCATTGCCATCGAGTCAATTCTGACTCATAGCAACCCTATAGGACAGAACAGAACTGTCCCATAGGGTTTCCAAGGAGCAGCTGGCGGACTTGAACTGCTGACCTTTTGGATAGCAGCTGAGCTCTTAACCACATTGCAGAATCCCAGAACATTTAACTGCACTCATGAGGAACCTGTACATAGACCAAGACGCAGTCGTTCAAACAGAACAAGGGGATACTGTGTGGTTTAAAGTCAGGAAAGATGTGCATCAGGGTTGTATCCTTTCACCATACTTACTCAATCTGTATCCTGAGCAAATAATTCGAGAACCTGGACTACATGAAGAAGAACGCCACATCAGGATTGGAGGAAGACTCATTAACAACCTACAATATGCAGATGACATAACCTTGCTTGCTGAAAGTGAAGGGGACTTGAAGCACTTACTGATGAAGATAAAAAACTACCACCTTCGGTATGGATTGCACCTCAACATAAAGAAAACAAAAATCCTCACAACTAGACCAATAAGCAACATCATGATAATGGAGAAAATATTGAAGTTGTCAGGGACTTCATTTTACTTGGATCCACCATCAATGCCCATGGAACCAGCAGTCAAGAAATTAAATGACTATTGCATTGGGCAAATCTGCTGCAAAAGACCTCTTTAAAGTAATAAAAAGTAAAGATGAGGACTAAGGTGCGGCTGACTCAAGCCAGGGTATTTTCAGTTGCCTCATATGCATGTGAAAGCTAGACAGTGAATAAGAAAGACTGAAGAATTGACACCTTTGAATTACGGTGTTGGCAATGAATATTGAATATACCGTGGACTGCCAAAAGAACGAACAAATCTGTCTTTGAAGAAATAGTGCCGAAATGCTCCTCGTAAGCAAGGATGGTGAGACTTCTCTCATGTACTTTAGACATGCTATCAGGTGGGACCAGTCCCTGGAGAAGGACACCATTCTTGCTAAAGTAGAGAGTCAGCAAAAAAAGGAAGACCCTCAACAGATGGATTGACACAGTGGCTGCAACAATGGACTCAAGCATAACAACGATTGTGAGGATGGCACAGGACGGGGCAGTGTTTTGTTCTGTTGTACATACATATGAGTCTGAACTGACTTGAGGGTACCTAACAACAATAGAAAAAGATAAGAGTGG